TTTTTTTTTTTAGTTGTAGATGGACACAATACCTTTATTTATTTATCTTTATGTGGTGCTAAGGTGCTGAGGATCGAACCCAGTGCTTCACCCATGCTAGGCGAATGCTCTACCACTGAGCCACAGCCACAGCCTTGGTTTGTTTTTTTTTTGGTGAGTTAAAATTACCTAGGGGGGCTGGGGTTGTGGCTCAGCTGTAGAGTGTTTGCCTAGCATGTTCGAGGCCCTGGGTTCAATCCTTATCACCACATAAAAATAAAATAAAGGTATTGTGTCCAACTACAACTAAAAAATAAATATTAAAAAACAAATTACCTAAGACTAGGGATGTAGCTCAGGGGTAAAGTACTTGCCTCACAAGCATAGGAGGCCCTGGGCAAAAATAAACTTACATAAATAAAAGTGACCTATATTGTGTTATTACAACTGCATACTTGAAAAGGGTTAAGATGATAAATTTCATATTATGTTTTTTACCACAGTAGGGGGAAAAAAACTCTTGTCATATCCTAAACTAAAAGGAAATAATATTTACGAATCTAAACCAGAAGCCTGGCTGGGTGGTGGTACATGCTTGTAATCCCAGTGACTCATAAGTCTGAAGCAGGAGGCTTGCAATTTGTTTTTGTTTTTTTTTTTTAAACATTTAGTTTTAGGCGGATACATTATTTTGTTTTTATGTGGTGCTGAGGATCGAACCCAGTGCCTCATGCATGCTAGGCGAGCGCACTACCACTGAGCCACAACCCCAGCCCCCAGGAGGCTTGCAATTTGAGGAAAGCCTCAGCAACTTAGTGTGACCCTGACTCAAAAATAAAAGGACTGGAATGTAGTTCAGTGTTAAAGTGCCCCTTGGTTCAATCCCCAGTACTGTGTAATTAATCAGTCAAGCCAGGAGCCAGGCACAGTGGCACAATCTGTAATCCCACCTACTCAGGAGGCTGAGGCAGAAGAATCACAAGTTCAAGCCTGTCTCAAAATTTAAAAAAAAAGGGGGGGGGGGGCGCTGAGGAGTCAGCTCAATGATAGAATACTTACCCACCATGTTCAAGGCCCTGGGTTCAATCTCCAGTACCACATGCACACAAAAACCCATAGAAACATTGAACAGTTTATAACTCTGATGTACTATGTTAATAATTATCTTTCAACTTAGTTTTGTACTGATAGTATTAATTTAATATTAAAGCAATTTAGAGATCAAAGATAAAAATAGAAAACAAACTCTTGCCTAGCATGCCTGAAACACTGGATTCAATCCCTAGCACCATATAAAAATGAACAAATAAAGGTATTGTGTCCACTACAATTTAAAAAAATAGAAAACAAGGGGGTAGTGCACAGGATTGAATATTTTTGATATTCAAAATATGGGGCAGAGAGAGAAGTATATACAGACACTAGGTGTGGTAGTGCATTCCAGTAATCCCAGTGACTCAGGAGGCTGAGGTAGGAGGATAGCTAGTGGGAGGCCAGCCTCAGCAATTTAGCAAGACCCTGAGTGACTTAGTGAGACCCGGTCTCAAAATGAAAATTAAAAGGTCTGGGAATGTGAGGCACTGAGTTCAATCCTCAGCACCACTAAAGAAAAAATAAAGGGCTGGGGATATAACTCGGTTGGTAGAGTGCTTGCCTTGCATGCATAAGTCCCTGGGTTCAATCCCCAGCACCACAAAAAAAAAAAAAAAGAAAAAAGAAAGATATTGTGTCCATCTACAACTAAAAATGTATTAAAAAAAAAAAAGGTTTGGGGGCTAGGGTGGTGGCTCAGTGATAAGAGTGCTCGCCTGGCATGCATGAGGCACTGATCCTCGGCACCACATAAAAACAAACTATTGACAAACTAATGTATCCACCTAAAACTAAAGATGCATAAATAAATAAATATTTTTAAAAAAAAGGTTTGGGAATGTAACTCAGTGATAAAGCACCTCTAGATTCAATCCCCTGTACTCCCCACAAAAAAAGTATACAGAATTGAATGAGTTTAGTAGGAAAAAGTCTGCATTAAAGAAAGAAGTGCAGAGAAAAAAACAAAGAAATGCATTGAAAAAAATAATAGTAGAGTTAAATGAACTCTAAACCAAATTTGAAGGATTTATTGATAAAACTCAATGTGTTTTGTTTTTTTCATGGTTTTTTGTTTTTCAGTATTGGGGATTGAAACCAGGGCTGCTGAGCTACATTCCCCAGCTCTTTATTTTATAAAGAGCACCCAAGTAGCTGTGATTACAGGCTACTGTGGCTGGACCAAGTATGTGTTTTGAAAAGACTATCAGAATATAAAATTTTCTGCTTACATTTATTAAGAAAAAGAATAGAGGGGCAGGGATTGTGGCTCAGTGGCAGAGCACTTGCCTCACACGTGTAGGGCACTGGGTTCCATCCTCAGCACCAAATTTTTTTAAAAAAAATAAGCAAAATAAAGATATTGTGTCCATATAAATTTTTTTAATTAAAAAAAAAAAAAGAATAGAAACTGGGTCCCTGTCATTCTAGTGATTCCGGAGGCTAAGGCAGGAGGATCCCAAGTTTGAGGCCAGCCTGAGTAACTTAGACACTGTCTCAAAAGAAAAACAAAAGGCTGGGGTTGTGGCTCAATGGCAGAGTGCTTGTAGAGAGGCATGTGGGAGGCCCGGGGTGGAGGTCCTGGGTTCAGTCCTAGTATTACAGAAAAAAGAGGAGATGTATAAATACACACATACACATACACACCGAATATCTGAAAAATCAGGTTAGATTTATCTATGTATTATGTGGATCCCGCCGTTAATTTTATTTATTTATTTTTTAATTTTTATTTTATTTTTTTTAATATTTATTTTTTAGTTTTTGGTGGACACAACATCTTTGTTTGTATGTGGTGCTGAGGATCAAACCCGGGCCGCACGCATGCCAGGCGAGCACGCTACTGCTTGAGCCACATTCCCAGCCCCCGCCGTTAATTTTATTAATCAAATTAGTCCTGTTAATGTAGGTCTGGGGATACTGACGCCCCCTCCGTCAGTGGTGAAGCTGGAGGCGGAGAAAGCTAGCTGCAGAGCATTTGCCTGGCGTTTGTGAAGCCTGGCCTTGATCTCCAGCCCCACAAAAAAGAAAAGAAATGTATACTTATTCATAAAAATATGTATATATTTATTTGTTGTTTAAAAAAAAATTGTAGCCTTCCTGTTTCTGAGGACTGTGGCTCCTAAGCGCAGGCAGCTGTTCTCCAGCACCCACTGGCTGAGAAGGGAAAGGACGTCGAGCTTTGCCCGGAGGGCAGCGGGTGGGATGCAGGGTGCTGGTCTCTCCCTGGGGACAAGGAGGCTGCAGCCCTGCTGAGCAGAAGCCCCCAATGGTTTCTTTCCTTGCGCAGCTCTGATCGAGTCCCTAAACCAAAAACCACAGTCTGCCAGTGACCAACCCCCACCCACAGAAGCAACCCACACCACCCACAGGAAAGCAGGTGCGACCGACGCCCCCTCGGCCAACGGTGAAGCTGGAGGAGGAGAGAGCAGCAAAGGCTACACTGCAGAGCAGGTGGCAGCAGTGAGAAGGTAGAGGCCTGCGCGCCAGCTTGTGGGTACTGGGGACACTTCCTGCCAGGGAGGGCTTCCTACAAGCCGTCTCTCACTTCTGTCCAGGGTCTGGATGGGGCCTGGGAAGGTCTTGGAGGTCGGAAAAGGTTCAGCCTCATTTCCCACAAGGCCCTAAAATGTATGGAAGCCAGGGCCCCATTGTCTGCCCCACCCCCAGATGGCCCACACAGAGCCTGAAAATGCTGACTCTGTCATCTTCCCCTGCCACTGGCCAGGAGGGCCCAGGCCTCTCTACAAGCTGTTTGTTACACAGATTGAAGCCTGGTCTCTCCAGATTCTCCCCCACCCACACCCGCATCCCCAACAAAGACCTTCTAGACAGATCCCATGGGGTGAAGTGGAGGCAAAAGTGGAGTTATGCCTCCAAGGGGCAGGCCCTATGCAGAGCAGCTCACTGCCAGGCCGCAGACCATTCGGCAAGGTTTCTCAGGACAGAGCCTCCAGCCTCGCTCTCCCCACCAGCTTGCCTCAGGTGGGGTGGTGCTTCTGCCTCCTAGCAAACTGGGACAGGGGCTCAGCCTGTGGTGACCAAGCATGACTGTAGTTTACTATAAACCAGGCAAGGGTTTAACCAGACAAGCCTAATAATCAAAAGCAATATAGACTAACGCAGGAGGAGCTGGAATGCTTAGAGAAAGCCAAGACCAGGGACCTTCGGGGACCCAGAAAGTAAGAATTGATAGGACAGAAATAGGGTTTCTTCAGTGCCCAGTTCCTCGGGTAAATGGGCACCTGCCATTGCTGGCCTTTATGTTCCCACTCCAGAATTCCAACTGCCAGGAGAGTACAGTTGGCTGAGCTCAGGACACACCTGCCCTTGGATGACAGATATTGACAGTCCTTCCAAGGTGGCCTCCAGCGGGGGAATTGTTAGCAGAAGGGAGATTGACGCTCGCCTGGCCAAAGACAGCAGCTGCCCCTCCCAAGTCCTAAGTGTATTCTCGGTGTTTCCAGAGGGCCCCACCCAGCTCCCCACCCCAGCTGGAACTCTCCTGTCCCTGAAGTCAGACGGCTGACCCAGAGGAACCACTGACCATGCTCTGCTTCCCCTGGGGGGTGGCGCTCAGACCTGGACGCCCGTTGCTGCCTGTTCTTCTCCCACCTTACCTCATGGCTCTGAGCCCACAGAGGGCATCCACTCACGCTCTTCTCCATCCCCCAGGGTCAAGCAGTGTAAGGATTACTACGAGATCCTGGGGGTGAGCCGAGGAGCCTCAGATGAGGACCTGAAGAAGGCCTACCGCAAGTTGGCCCTCAAATTCCACCCTGACAAGAACCACGCACCTGGTGCCACCGAAGCTTTCAAAGGTGAGCTAGCCCTGGCACCCTGGCACTTTGGTACTTTTATCTTCTGTCCATGGAACACAGGGCCAAGATAGCTTTCCCAGTAAGGGGGTGGGCAGAACAAAGTGATCTCAGGCTCCCTTCCACAGGCTTGGGAGCTACTTCCTGAGGTCACAGTAGCTACCTCTAGCCAGGTCGTTTTTTAGAACTTATATAGTTCCATTCTGTTTCCCCTTTGTCATCCCATGTTTTATAGAAGTAAGAGAATTCTAGTAGTTTCTATAAGATCACACATTGACTGGGGTAGGAGCAGCTTCCCATGGTAACAGCTTCCCTGTGCTGAGGGAAGAGGCCTCTGACCTGTGGCCTCAGTACCAGCAGCCACAGCCAACTACACACACACACACACACACACACACACATCTTGAGGGCCTACGGTGGGGGTATGACGGCCTTTCTGTCCTCAGAGCCCATTGAATTCCACAGTGGGTGTGTCACTTCTGGCCAGAATCATTATTCATTTAGATTTTCATTTAACCTATGAAGCACACATGCACACTGACTCCAGGCCAGCCCTGTGTTGGGATACTACAGTTTCTCATTACCCCGTTGTTCCTTCTCTCTGAAGAGCGTGGTGACCAGCCCCACCTGGTGCTGTGCTATCAGTACTGGGGCCAAGCCAGACTTGGTGGTGCACTCCTGAAATCCCAGCGATTCTGGAGACTGAAGCAGGAGGATCACAAGTTCAAGAGAGCCTCAGCAACTTAACAAGGCTCTAAGCAATTTAGTGAGACCCTATCTCAAAAAAGAAAAATGGGCTGGGGATGTGGCATAGTAGTTAAGCACCCCTGGGTTCAAAAATAAAGTCAGTAAGTTCTGAGTCAAAACCATAGTCAGTTGGGGAGCCTGTGCCAGAGCAGACCTGGCACACCATCTCCCAGGGGCCTGCCCCAGGGGAAAGAGGAGAGTGGGAGTGGGGCGGCAAAGAGGAGAGTGGGAGTGGGGCAGCAAGGTGGCCATGGGTGATGTGTCTCCATCCCTGAGTGCTCCTGCAGCCGGCCCAGATGGGGACTGAGAGGCCAGACCTAGTGCTGGGGCCTTGTGAAATGGTAGGAGGGGGAGAGGAAGACTCCACCCTCCTCCTTCCCAGGGGTTGCAGGCTGTGAAGCAGATGCAGCTGAGGCCATTGTTCCTAGCAACTGGGCAGCTGGAGGAGGAGGAGGAAAAGCAAGGAGGCTGAGGAGAGCCCAGAGCTGCAGGTCTTGTGAACACAGGCTTCTCACCCAGGGAGCTCTGCTGAGGAGGCCTCAGGGCCAGGAAGGAAACAGTGGCTGGGGTCTGGACCCTAGGAATCAAGGGCTCACCCCTGCCATACCACCAACGGCAGAGGAGTCTCAACCAGACCCCAAGGATTTGGCCCTTGCAAGCGCTTCTCACCGCTTTCCAGTTTACAAGGACTTACTGTGTCCATTTGGTCACTATGACTTCAAAAATATATTACCACCAGAAAAGGATGCCCTGCCCCTTTGGCACCTCGGGGGAGAAGGAGGAGGAAAAGAGGGGCTTTGGTGGTTTCAAAAGATCAGTGAGAATCCTAATTAGAATGAGTTATACTCCATGTATGTATAATATGTCAAAATGTACTCTACTGTCATGTACCTCTAAAGAGAACAAATTAAAAAAAAATAATAAGGTCAGTGCGAAAGCTTGAAGCAAGACACTTGGCTTTGACTCCCGGCTCAGAGTCCTCAGAGCTGGGTGAGTCACTTCACTTCCCTGAGCCCCACTTCTCTCGTTGGTAAAATGCAGGCAGGGCTGCTATTCAAAGTAATGGAGACAACACCTAGAAAGGACCTCGCTCCACCAGTGTCACCACGAGGAAAGCCAGGAGTCCCAGTGTCAGCCCTCCAGGCCGCCCACACCCCTTCCCCACAGGTGCCCAGCGGGCAGGCTTCCTGCAGCCCCACAGACTTCTGTTCCCTAAAGCCCCTCCTAAGCCCCTGAAAAAAGTGAGCACTGGGCTGCATGGCAGCCCCACCACACCCGCCCCTCAGCCCGGCCTTCCGTTCCCTCTCCAGCCATTGGCACAGCATATGCGGTACTGAGCAACCCGGAGAAAAGGAAACAGTATGACCAATTTGGTGATGACAAGAACCAGGCAGCCCGACACGGCCACGGACACGGGGACTTCCACCGTGGCTTTGAGGCTGACATCTCCCCTGAAGACCTCTTTAACATGTTCTTTGGTGGTGGCTTCCCTTCTAGTAAGTTCCTTCCCCTTCCCACAGCCAGGTCTCCCTGGGAGTGATGGTGGGAGACTGGGTCCACCCCTCCCTTTCCCAGCAACCCCAGCTTCTAACTCAGTTCTTCTGACCCTCAGGTAATGTCCACGTGTACAGCAATGGCCGCATGCGCTATACCTACCAGCAAAGGCAGGACCGCAGGGAGAACCAGGGTGACGTGAGTGAAGCAGGGGCTAGAAGAGCAGGGAATCCAGGCCCGCCCCAGTTGCCCTCCCTCCCCGTTGCCCACAGGAAAGGCGGTGTGAAGCCTACCTGGGGAGACTTCTCCCCTGCAGACAGAGTCAACGTGAATAGCTTTTGTGCAGCCCACTTGTTCATAAGGCAAAAGTAACATTTTCCAAGGAAGGGAGAGCTAGACTTTGTGAGAGAATTATAACGAAAGCCAACATAGGTGCTTTTTAGCACTCTTGAAATGTACATAAAAACTATAAGTGTCCCAGCTACACCAGAGCCTGGGGCAGGTATTGCAAGATGAAGGCCAGCCTCAGTGACT